AGCAGTAGCTGGGAGCCTCTGCCTCACAAAGAAGTGCAATAGACAGATGCCAAAATGGTCAGTGGCATTTTGCCTCTTCGAGAAACAAAGTATTTTTGTTCTTGCTAGGTTAGTACTGTCATGTTTCACCTCTAATTTGGGAAAGGAAAATATGGTCTGGCAAACCCCTTCCTGAAAAGTTGCCAAGCTGTGGTCTGATTCTGCTGAGCAGCTTCCCACTCACCGTGTGTTTTCATTCTCCCTCTGGTTTTCCCCGCAGTATGTTGGTGCTCCCGTGGCCTACATCCAGCAGATCTTTGTGAAAGCTACCGTCTCCCCATGGCAGAAGAACTTCCTCGCTGTTGATGTATTTCGTTCACCCCTCTCCCGCGTCTTCCAGCTCGTGGAGGAGATTAGAAACCATGCCCTGAGAGACAGGTAATTGCTGTTCATTAAGGTTTGTGCGCGAGGCAGACTGACCCACGGTTGTACACACCCATCTGCTAAACTGCTGTCTCATAAATCTGATTATTAGTTTTGAGTTTGTCACATTCTCAAAATTAAAAGAAAATGAGAGATCACTGCTGGCAAGTGATATGATATCCATCCTGCACGTATTGCGGTTTAGATTTTGTGCTGGAGAACCTGCCTGTCCTTTAGCCACTGATCATGGTCAAGAACCTTCCAGGCAGAGTCTTGGGCAGAGGGGTCTGGAGGGGTCCTCCAGGTTTTAGCTGTTAGAGCAGGTATCAGCGTCATATGGACCCTTCATAGGCATCCAAGCTTTGTGTTAAAGCGAGTTCGTTTGACCCCACCATGCCTATTGTGAAGCTCTTGTAGAATTTCTCCTGATCAGGAACCTTCTCCTGACTTTCCATTTCATGTATGTTTAGGACCAGTTTATACCTGCCTTGTTTTTTTGTCCTGACACAATCTTTGTACAAAAATAGCTTTCCTCTGCTTTCAGATATTTACAGGGAGAACTCCTAACTCCCCACCCCAAATCCTTGTTTGTTAAGCTAAACGTATGAAACTCTTGGTTTACTCTGGCAAGATGGCTGTGTATTCAGTTTGTCATCCTGGCTGCTCCTCTTGGCACTGCTGTTGTTAGTGTGTCATCCCTGAACACGGGAGATTAGAACTGTACTCAGTATGCTCAGAGAAGTCTCATTTGCAGGTTATTTTCCATGGAAAAGCCTTTCCTGAAATATAGTGAGATTGCAGGTCCCTTTTTCATGGCCCGTCACGTCAATTTTACACATTCTGAAGTGCATGATTAGCTTCCCCGTGTCCCTCTCTGTCATTTCCACCTGATGAGCTCCCACCCTGTAGCCGGAACTCTGTTTAGTCCCCAAGTACGTGGTCTTGCACTTTGTGCTGTTAGTAGAAAGGGGATTAAATTATTCCAGCCCTTGCATCATCCATTTCAGATATTCTGTTCCTTTTCTGTATTCATGGTGTTTCTTTATTTTGCACCATTGGCACATCTCCCCATATCTTATTCTAAGGTTATGAATAAAAATATATCATGATCCTGGTTCTCTGAACTGTCTGTGAGAAATTCCGCTTTGTTTGCCTCAATTCCAGCAGTTCCCCTTTCAGCAGCCCCATGACCATTTTCCTGTTAACCTAGTTCTTCACTGCATCACTTTTTTTATACTTTCCTGCTCATTTTCTGTGTGGTGCTGCAGCAAAAGCTTTATTGGGGCCCAAGTGGATGAGATCTGCTGTGCTTTCCCCAGCCAAGGAGTCAGGCATTTTGAAGAGAAGATTGATCAGACCAGTTCGGCATATTCTCTCTTTGTAAACCAAATTTTATACATTTATACATTTTGTACACCTTAATTTGCCTCTGTTTTATTTTTTTTTTAAATAAGTTTTCCTTCGAGTTCTAAGTTTTTATTTGTGGTCACGTTCGTGGCTGGGTTTACTTTCCAAGGACAGAAAGGCTTCCCTACTTGTCTGTCTCTGTTCAGTGAGAATAGTGATGCTGAGAACAGCTGAAAAATGGTGAGATTGGAGTCTTTGATCACCTCTTAGCTTTTCAGCGAGGAGATTTCTTCACCCTTTGTCCTCTAACTCACATGTGTAGGGAGGATTTACTGCATGTTCGTGCTTCCCTGACAGCATCCTTCATTGCTTCATTTTTGAGAGTGCCCGCTTTACTACTCTGCCTGGTGATTTGTCATTTTTTTTTTAAACCATTCCTTTCAAGCTAGCTGACTGCTCTCTCTGTGATATTTTTTTAGAAATGCCATTTATGCTGTTAAATATGTTGCTCTTTCCTACCAACTCACAAAGCCTTGGCACTGACATTCTTTCTGTGTTTTCAGTTCATCTCCTCCTTTAGCACGTGTAACTTCAGATAATAATCAGTATATAGTTGCCAATTACAAGTTAGAAACAGCTTGCTCCTAGGATGTGTGTTGTCTTCTTGTTATCTCTCCTTGGTGTTGCCCTTGATGAAGTGATGCAGCATGGAGGCAAAATTAGACTTGCACAGCCAGCAGAAGGGAAAGGCTAGGCAGTTGGTTTAGGGAAAGGCTAGGCAATTGGTTTAGGGAAAGGCTAGGCAATTGGTTTAGACGTTTAGACCTGAACCTTGGGATAAGGGCTCTCATTCTGGTGATGGACTCAGATATTTCAGGGAACATCTGCTTTGAGAGAAATTCTGAAATTACCTCAAAAGCCATTATGGAGTTCCTTGTCATCAGTTGCGTTTGTCAGTTTCAAAGTTAAGTGCAGCTGGTTTTCTTAATCTGAAAAAAGCGTTGTTTTATACCGAAGTGGTACAGAAGGAGCTGAAGATTATTGACAACTGGGTAAGAAACACAAGGTGATTCTGTTTTCATCAGCTGTAAGATCGCTGAAACTTTGAGCAGTCATCATTTGTAAGAAGTCAGAAAGGACCTGAAATTTGTGGTTTGCTCCAGTTGATGTTTTTTGATATCACTCTCTGCATCCCCAACGTGCTGGTAGGGACATTAGCCATGGTGCCTTTGCTTCACAAATAAGGACGGACGTACCTGGGCTTATCTGCAGCATGAACTGTTGTCACTGTCACTTTTCAGAGTTGGATAAAGCGGAGATACTAAACAATAGTTGTCTTCTTCTTCCTGGAGCTATTATTGGAGGCAGCACTGCATCAGTTCCTTTAGATTATCTTTCAGAAAGCTTCTGTTCCTATAAACACAGTATTTTCAAGTGTATTTTCTAGTGTTTTCTTTTGATAGCTGTGACTTTTCTAGGTATCTTGCCTTTATAGTGACAGGATATAGATTCTGGAGGGAACATTCACAGAGACAGAACTCAGTTCATCGTTAGTTGGTTTCCGTGTTTTCTCTTTGTAGTCGTTTAAACTCCTCTAGAGAAGATGTTTTACTGCGAGACTGGATCCAGTTACAAAACTGATCTCTTGTATCTTAACCTTTCTGAAATTCACCCTTCCTGTGCAGATCCCACCAGGTGAGGGAAGAGTTTTCTTTCGGACCAGCATCTCTTGTCTAGCCAGGTCACGTGCTGGCAGCTTTTGTCACTAAACCTGCGCAGTCTGATCCTATTGTGACCCCCATTTGAGTCGTGCTTGAATTACTAGTTGAGTTCTGTAATTGTGTTAAAATGAAGTTTGGGAACAAACACAAGTTCCATTTCATACCAGTTACACCTCTGTTCATTTCTGAACCTGCAAGGCGTGTTCTTTTCCATACAATGCGGAGGAATTCTGCTAATAAAGATTTCTGTAAAGTGTCCCATTGCATATATAAGACCATATGCAGAGGAGTTCAAAGTCTTTGAAGAAGAATTCCAGGGAGTCATTTTCTCTGTAGCCTGGAGGTATCTTAAACGTGAAACTTAAAATTGTGGCACCTCGGATGGGTGACGAGTGAAAGCTGTGCAGCCAGAGAGCGTGCAGAGGAATGACAATGGGTTTCTGGAGTCTGTACGGTGGTTACGGCGAGATCCCGGTCTGTGGCCCGAGGCTCTTGATCCTTGGTTATTAAGACCAAGAGCAGTAAGAGGGTGATGCAGGTCCTCAGAGTATTCGTCTCGGTAGCTTTGCCTTTTGTTTGTGAGAGTTGCAACATACACAGCGGTGTCTAATCTTTGTTTGCCTTTCAGTTCTGGTGTCAAAAGCTTGGAGGACGTTTGCCTGCAGGTAACAGATCTTCTGCCTGGCCTCAAGAAGCTGCGGAATCTGCTCCCCGAACACGGCTGTCTGTTACTGTCTCCAGGGAACTTCTGGCAGAACGACCGAGAGCGATTCAATGCTGACCCAGATATTATCAAAACCATCCACCAGCATGAACCAAAGACGTTGCAAACATCAGCTACTCTCAAAGGTAAGAGGCCAGCGTGCCAAAGAAGCTGTGAGGAATGCCTACAGCTCACATCGCTGTTCTGTCCTTGGTATCTCCAACATCTAGCTTGCTGGTATTGTGAAATCAGGTGGCAGTTTGTTACTCACAGCATCTGGAATGAAACCACCAAATATATGTAATCTCTTAATTTTATATCTGTATTTGAGTTCAGTTCTGTATTTGTGGAATGTAAGTAATTCCACTCGGTCAGACTCCTTTCTGTAGGTGTAAAAATAGCAGGTAACTTCTCCAAGTCTTTTTGTTCCCCGTGCTCTGCATACGCTCTAGCCTTTTCCCCTCACTCTACTGTCTGGCATTCTGTCATACTCAAAGACTGTCTCACTGTCACAGAAACACGAACATTCATCCCGCTGCCTCTTGTGCATTCACTGGCAGTTGCTTGTGTATACCCCAAGCTGACACTGGATATCATAAAAGTATTTTCTGTCTTAATGAAAAAAACAAGTCTGACCATGTCTGGGATCGTATTGGCCTCCATAAGGCCAGAGGAAACGCTGTTCCTTTGGTTTTGAAGAAACTTTGTTTTGGAAGCTGAAGAGGGGTTTTATAACCCTGGTTTTGTTTGTTTTAAAGGTTATTTTTTTGAGCATCCAGAGTGTGTGCACACTGGTTTAGCACACAAGATTAACAGGAGAGACATTAAATAGTCCATTGCAATGCAAAGTCTTCCTGGAACCTCTGGTTCAAATCACACATTGACATGCACAAAACCAAGTGCCCAAGGATTTCTTTGGCTGCGCCCTTAAAGATAATGCCTGTCTCCTCTGTTGAAGGACAAATCGGGTGCCCTCTTGACATCCCCATACACTAACACACACAGCCTGGGGAGCAAACTGGAGCTTCTGGGTTAGCATTAGAGGGCAGACCTTGTCTGCTACAGGTCAGGAAGAAGGATGGATGACTTCCCCACAGGACTGAAGGTTTTTCTTGTATTTAAAGGGAATTTCCTGTGTTCAAATGTGTGCCCGTTGCCTCTTGTCTTGTCACTGGGCACGGCTCAGAAGAGATGCTTCGTCTTCTTTACTCCCCTGCATTAGTTTATCCCCATCACTAAGGTGTCACCAAAGCACTGGGAAAGTGCTTCCTCTGGGATCAGTACTCCTCATTCAGTGTTCTTCACGATGAACACCTCTTGTATCCTGCCTTTTTTGTTTATTTTGTTGTTATCCTGATGTTTCGTTCGCACTGTGTGTTGGCAGATCTGTTGTTTGGACTCCCTGGGAAGTACAGCGGGGTGAACCTCTACAATAGGAAGCGAGTGGTGTCGTACACCGTCACACTGGGTCTGCAGCGGTATGATTCCAGGTAAGGAGCTTTAGCCGTCCTGGTTCTGTCTTAGGGATCCCTTGTTCAATTCCTGGCAAGTTTGCTGTTTTCTGTACTCTGATTATTGTTATGTTTTTCTTTAATCTCCGTTTTCTTGTGTTTTAGAGTATTTTAGGATCTTCTGAACATGCTATAGAAAAACAGGGTGGTGGTTTTGGGAGAGAACTTGCTGTGTTTTAAGGAAATAAAATACTATCAGGTCTCAGTTTCTCTTTTAAAAAAGTATATATAATACCCAAAGCTGCCAGTGGCAGTTCCTCTGATCACCTGCTCGCAGAACTGCTGTCGTTGCAGCCAAGGCACCCAGTAGCTCTGTGTTGACCCAGTTCCTGTGGTTTGCTTTCCAGTAAGCACTAATTCAGCTGGTACCAACTGTGAAACCCCTGGGGCAGTGTTGGCAAAGCTGGCTTGGACTGAATGGATCTGAGGACTAAACCCTCTGCTCGGTGCTGAGCAGAATTCCCCAGGGAATGCCTAGGACAGAACTGGCAGCACAGTAGTCGGAATTTGCTCTGCTACCACCCACGCAAGAACTTTTCAGCCTTAAAGACTGCCATGTAACACCTTTCATCAGCCGTACTTACGTAAAATTCAGGGGATGTTTGAGACTGCAGCATGTTCTGTTCCCCACGGCCAAGATTTTGGATGATGAGCCCTTGCTTTAAATCATTTTGCTGAGTCTTCACATTTATATTTGAATCTTCATAGAAATCGAGGTCTGTAAGATTGCCATAGTATGGATGTGACAAATGTAGTTTGAGCTACAGAGAGACAATCTTAGCAGTCAGATCTAGAGAGAACTGTGCTTTGTAAGTCTGCGTGAATCTACGGAGCTTCTTCCTACTTGATCTGCACCTGCTGAGCTCCTCCTTGGAATTGTGTGCTGGTTGTTGGATGCAGTGTGACATCCTCCTGCTTGCTTTTCATCCCAGGTTCCTCAGCAGCCTCCGCTCTCGCCTCAAGCTGCTGCATCCCAGCCCGAACTGCACGCTGCGAGAGGAGAACATCGTTCACGTCCACTTCAAGGAAGAGATCGGCATTGCTGAGCTGATTCCCCTCGTCACCACCTATATTATCCTCTTCGCTTATATCTACTTCTCCACACGTAGGTTTGTGGGGTGGAGAGCCTTGGGGGGGGTCAGTGGTGGGGTGCCCCCTTCTTTCAGTGGAAAAGGTGGCATTGAAATTTTACCCTGAACTGTCATGTAGAGAATTAGTAGTCCCATTTATCTGATTTCTGCTAATTAGTCTCTCTTAGCCAGCGTGATGTTGTTCCTTGTGATGTCTTCTGAGGTATTTTCTGTCTTACGCAGTTTGAAATGCCGTAGTAATGACATTTCTTCCAACTTGGAGAGACTAATTAGTTGTGAGACAGATCAAATTCATGTTCTGAGGCGGTGGTTTTAGACATTGCTAGCCACATCTAAGTTCCTTTTTTGATGCCCCAACAGTGCTGTACTGGAGCTAGTTTGAGCTGCAAGCCATGCATTATCCTCTGTCCCATCCTCGTTACAGTACCTCGTATGTGCTGGGAGGGTCTGGGAGCTGCATTTCAGCCACGGAGACTGCACTAACGTTAATTCTGGGTCGCAGGGCTACATGCTGAAATAAGTCAGGATGAGGATCCCTTCTCCTTGACTTTTTTATTATTGTCATTTTCTTCTGCTTGGTAACAGAGACTTTGCATTCTGTTTTTCAGGGAAGATTGACATGGTGAAATCGAAATGGGGTCTGGCCCTGGCAGCGGTCGTGACGGTGCTCAGCTCTCTGCTCATGTCCGTTGGGCTCTGCACGCTGTTTGGTTTGACGCCCACTCTTAATGGAGGGTATGTTTCCAGCACCAAACCTCTTCCTAAAGAAGGGTAGATGGAGGTGAAATAATTGGAAAACAGCTGATCTTTAAGACCTAGTCTTTTTCAAATAAGCTCACATGATATTATTTTACACGCTGCTGTGCAAAATTCTCATCAGCCCCTCCTGCTAGGCTGAAGGGCCACGTGTTTCTCTGCTGGCCAGCAAATAGACCTGATGGGGTCCCAGTCTTCCTGCAGATGCCTTATTGCTTAGCAGTTGGCTCTTTCTGCGTAAAGCAGAAGGAATTGTTGGGTCGTCTTATTCACAACTTAACTTCCTGGCAGCTAAGTTGGCTCTCAGATACCTTCCTCCCACAGTGACCTGTCGGAGCATCCAAAAGGGCTTCTCACCTTTTCTCTGGCTGACATAGGTCCATTACATTTTACTCAGAAAAATCTTTAAAGGTGTCAGAACTGACCTGTGGTGTTTCTTCCTGGAAGACTACCTGAGTGACTTTGTACCCATCACTGATAGTGTCCGCTTTTCTTTTACCAGGCGTTCCCGTGCACGTTACAGTTGGCATTTTGGACTTCTGATGTGTTTACAGCCATGCATTGTACTTGTGTCAAGCTGAAAACCCCTGAGAAAGCTCTAACTGGCACCTCACCTGCCTGAGTTTTACACACTGTTCTTTCTCTGGATTTTCAGGTCCCTTTCCTAAGTAGCTAAGGAACTATCCATCTTTTTTCTTCCCATCTCCTCCTTGCACCTCAGGATCGATGAGAAGTCTCACCCATGAGGGAGGCTCCTTGGTGCTGGTGATAGTTTGCCAGGAGACAGACCTAGATGGAGGAATTCTTCTCCTAGAAGCCTAAAAGAGCTATGGATAATTGACTTCAGAGGATGAAATATTTGTTGTTTCTGGGTTTACTGCTCTGGTGCCTACGATCATGGAATCATAGAACCATTGAGGTTGGAAAAGACCCTTCAGATCATTGAGTCCAACCATTAACCCAGCACTGCCAAGTCCCACTAAACCATGTGGACACATCCACACGTCTTTTAAATACCCCCAGGGACAGTGACTCCACCCCTGCCCTGGGCAGCCTGTTCCAGTTCTTGACAACCCTTTCGGTGAAGAAATTTTCCCAATATCCAATCTAAACCTCCCCTGGCACAACTTGAGGCCGTTTCCTCTCATCCTGTTGCTTGTTACCTGGGAGAAGAGACCGACCCCCCCTCCTCACCCCCTCCTTTCAGGCAGTTGTAGAGAGTGATGAGGTCTCCTCTCAGCCTCCTCTTCTCCAGACTGAACCCCCCCAGCTCCCTCAGCCGCTCCTCGTCAGCCCTGTGCTCCAGACCCTTCCCCAGCTCCGTTGCCCTTCTCTGGCCCTGCTCCAGCACCTCAATGTCTCCTTTGTCATCTGCCTCACTCCAAGTGGGGACAAATGAACTCCGGTTTTGGAGTCCAGGGTGTGAACAGCTTGTGTTTGTCCTGCACAGTGGTGTTACTCTTCAAGAAAAACTAATGTCTCATTGCTTTTAAACTGCTGCTCATTTCAGTGGAAACTGGTGACTCTTCGAGGACTATTTGAACTCCTAACCTGGGGCTATTAGTTAATTATCTTCTGCAGCAGAAGCTATGGTTGAAGTAGGACATCACTGATGAGAGAATTAGGAGTCTTCCTTTCCATATTTGTGCAGCCTTCTGAAGGCTTACTGCAGCTTATCTGGAAATGGTGCTGGACCCCCTGTGTGTCTCGCAGGACTGTGCATAAAGACAGGACCCTGCAAGAGTGTACCTTGCAGGTAACATGCTCAGCAGGATGGTGCTGTGCTGCGCTGGGCGGCAGAGCTCTCCCTCATCTTTGTGCATTGTCTTTATTTAGCAGTTTCCATCCCTAAGGATTACAAAGAGTTTTTCCCACATTTGTCTCCTGTCCTAGAGTATTGCTCGGAGGAGTGACACAGGTTATGAACTGAAAATGTTTTAGATAAAGGCAGAACTAAGTTGTGCTTTCTAGATTTTGGATTCTTTGGCATTAACAGGAAGTTGCCCATGAGATGCTTGTATATATTTTGTTTTTTTTTTTTTGCTAAGGAAATTCGCTTCCTGCTCAGGTTTTGGACAGGAGGCGAATGGACCAGTGTGGTGCACAATTTTTAGAGATAAAATTTGTTTAGGCTACCTGGAGAAGGGTGTGTAGAGTTTGTCTCTTGGTGTGTGTAATGTTGCTTCCAGTGGAGCTCTTGCTGTTTCGTTTGCTCAAGGGATCACTTGGAATGAGTCAGTTGAGTTAGCGGTGGTTCCAGGCAGGTGTTTTTCCAACCTGAGCTGGTATGGCACAGGCTGCTGGCAGCTCTGGGTGTGCAAATTTTGTCGAGGCCCACGTCAGATGGCCACAGGCCATTGAAAGCAGCGTTTGGGAAGAAGGTCCTTGGGGGGGGGTTATGGCAGGCAGGGCCAGAAAGTGGGAGGTGTTCTCCTGAAACTCTGCTGTTTGCCTGTCTTGGCTGTTAGTGGTTTGCCAAGGGGTGTGTGTGTGTGCACGCACGTGTGTTCTCCTTTTGGATCTGTCCGTACCAGCACAGCACAGATCTGTTACCCTCCCCAGTGAAAGCTCTAGGATTTTTGTTTACGTTTAGCTGGAGGGAAATGAAGATTTACTATCTACCGTGTTCTGGCAGGAACAGCTTCTTCTCTCTGATCTGGACTGTACATAGTTCAAAAGAGAGAAAAAAGTTCAGGGGTAAGAAGAAGAATTAAATAAAGTCACGGTAGTGACCTTGGGTATCTTACTCTTCTGCATGCATATATTCTGAAAGACAAATCCGTTTCACCGTGTTTTCTTGACTCTTGGGTAGAAACTATCCCTGGCAGGATTTGGTTTATTTATGTACAAAGCACTTGTACGTTACCAGGCTGGATGGGGCTTTGGGCAACCTGAGCTAGTGGAAGGTGTCCCTGCCCATGGCAGGGGGTGGCACTCAACGATCTTTAAGGTCCCATCCAACACAAACCATTTTACGATGCTGTGATTCTATGGTTTATCAGGATTTTCTCTGTTGGTGGTGGGATGTGCTCCCTACCCTCCTAGTCTCACTGACTAATTATTGCTGAGTCTATTGCAGGAGCAAAAGGCAAGCATGAAGACTAATTTAGTCATGGTCTACGATGGCCATTTTCCAGAAAATCATGCAGCTTTGCAGAAATGTTGATATGTGTCCAAAGCAGATGAAATACAGAACTCTTGCCTTGTCCCAGAGGAATATTGTGCGAGAAGGGATTTGGCTGAAAGCACTGGATAGTGTTTCCTGATGCGTGTTTGCTGCTTAACTTGCATTCTTCCCTTCTTTTTCACCAAGGATCTCATTCTCAGTTCTGGTTCTGTTTCCTCTAGAGAGATATTTCCGTACCTGGTTGTTGTGATTGGCCTGGAGAACGTGTTGGTTCTCACCAAGTCCGTTGTCTCTACGCCCGTTGACCTGGAAGTGAAGCTACGTATTGCCCAAGGTATGCAGCCTGCTCTGGAAAAATGCTGAGAGAGAGAAAATGCGGGTAACCCAAGGACCAGGCTGTGGGGAATGGTCTTGATTCTGTCTGTGAAGGAGCCAAGGACTGCGTGGGATGAATGGGAATTGGGAATTGTCTCCTGTTAGTCTTTTTGTATTGTTGTTAATTCCAAGAAGTAATCCCAGCCTGTAATTGTGGGCACTACTTTTTAAGATTGTTGTCTGAAGCGTTGACTAAACAAGTTTAAAAAAGTGTGAGTAAGGGAGAGCTGTATCTTCTGGTAAACATATTTAGCACCTTGTCCTCCCATGTCATGAATATCCTAAGTGCAGTCCACAGGTCATATGGAGTTATGCTGAGTCTGTGGCAAAATTATCTTCTCTGTTATAGATACACTGTGTACTTGTGTAAGAAACTGAGGATGCTCAATCCACGGAAAAATGTAGTTTACAAACTTAAAGAAATATTTCTAAACATCAGGGAAAAGAGATTCTGGAGTCATGCCCAGAAAAATCTACCAGGTTTTAAAAATAAGAGTGGTTTGTATCCTAGATTGAGAACAGGACTCAGAAACTCAGTGGTCCTTTTCGCTTCTGAATCCTTGTGTCACCCTGTGCAGTACCCTCAAGACTGCTTAAATCAGGACAGTTTTGTGAGCTGAGAGTCATCCTGAGCTCCCTTTCGAGGTCATGATAATCTGCCTCATAAGGACACTGGGAATTTACAGTCCAACTGTTTGATATTCAGAACAGGTCAGATTAATTTTAGCCTGGAGGTGCCTTTTTTGGCTGTTGTCTACAGATGCCTGATTTTAAGGAAGGGAAACCCAGTTCCTTTTTGCCATGCTCGCGTCCATCCACTAGTGAACACTCTCATTTTGCCCATATTCTTTCTCCAGGCTTGAGCAACGAGAGCTGGTCGATTATGAAGAACATGGCGACGGAGCTCGGGATCATCTTGATCGGGTATTTCACCCTCGTCCCAGCCATCCAGGTGAGCCTGGCTGATCCGTTTGAGTGTGCAGGACAGAGGCTTGTAGGCACTGCAGGAACGTGGTGTGCAGTAGTGACAGGATGAGGAGTAAGAGTTTTAAGCAGACAGAGGGGAGATTTAGATTGGAGAACCTCTCTCTTTGACTCATCATGATGGCTGTCACCCCTGGACCACGGGGCTGATCACTTTGCTGTGGCAGCTCTGGGAGGAGCCGGAGAAGGGGCTCATTTCTCTCCCAGCCATCTGTCCATGCTCCTTGTGTTTGTGGAAATGAGCTTCCCATGATAGAACTGAACACTGCCCAGTGCCTTTGCTGTGGGGGTGCCTTTATTCCAGCCTTAAAGTGTCTTCTTGTGAGCTGGCTAATCCACCTTAGAAGTAGAGGGAAGGAAAGAACAAAACCCTGCTGCAGAATATCTGCTTTGAGAATTAGGGTGGGCAGCCTGTTTGGGGCTGATGGACAAATCTCTAGGTTTTTACAACCACAGATATCACGGTCTTCATTTCATGGGTGCGCAAACTGAAACCTCAAGGTGGAATGATCTGTTAGGGGTTGTGTCCTTGGGGCTGTGTAGCACTGAAATAGCATCAAGGTCTTCTGCCTTGCAGGGTGTTCATTTCTCTGCTGCCCAGTCCCCTTTTCAGGACTGTTCTTGCGGAGTTGTATCAGAAAGCTGACACCATTTGATTTATGATCTTTGCCCAAGCCGGGCTTGTTCCTGGTGAGCTGCGTGAACAGAAGTACGCACTAGAGAAATCCTCATCATCGATTCCGTAGCACCTCTGCAGTCAGGCTTCAGGGAGGTGTCAGCCTGTTGTCTCTGGAAATTTCTAGCAGCATTTTCCTCATTGGAGGCTACTCGGGGCCCTCGCTAGGTGTTTGCTGGCCACGCGTGACCTGCGTGAAGAGGGACGGGTTGTGTATATCCTTGCTTTAGTATTGAAGACTCAGCAGAAGAGACTGCAGATTAAAGCCCATTATAATCTAGGAAGATTAAACGTTCAGGTTGGACTGGAGCATTGCAGGCTGACCTTCGCAGTTCCTGAGCTTCTCTCTCAGGTTCCAAGAGGACAGCAAGAGAGGAGCTATAGTAGAATTCCCCAGGCTACAGCCAGCCACCTATTGTGGCCTAATTTTTTTTGTTTGAAGCCAACTGCAGGGATTTTTCAGCTCAAAGGCTGGTGTGATCCATCCTTTGGATCTAAATTGGGCTGATGCCTGTGGTATATTAGCACCTTTTGGTCTCTGTTTCATTGCTGCACTGCTTGACCTCACAAAGTGATGCTCGACGGGATCTGTGAAGCGATCGCAGTGCCAGCAGCCTGGTCGCGTGGACACCGCTGGGACTGTTCCCTTTCTTTTTGTGCTCTGCTACAGAGGAGCTTGCAGGGTGCCTGATTACAGGAGATAAAGGAGTGTGAGAAAAGGGATGAGGCAGAGCCATCGCAGTGTCAGCAGAGCCACGGGGAGAAGTGACACCATGCCCCCACCCCCGTGTTAAAGTGCTCCTGTTTGTCGCAGCGTTTTGACACATGTGGTGACACCCACTCTCTGCTCTCCGTGTGATCCTGTCTTTCCTTGGATGCTTGCTTTCCACGGAGGAAAAATCTTGCAGAGACGCTGTCTGTTAAAGTCTGATGCCTGTAGGGGTGCTGACAGCTGCTCTGCTGGAGGCTGGGGTATGCCCCTTATCTTCATCCCTTAGAGTGAAGGACACCGTGCAGATAATGCGCTGTCCTCGCACTGCAGGGTCCAAGGAATCTGGCAGAAGGAGAACCAGCTGCGTAAATCTGGCAGAAGGAGAGCCAGGCTGCGTAAATCTGTCTGGGCCCTTTGCTCGAGGCTGTCAGAGGGAGCAGCGCAGTGCTGGGGCCGTTCAGGTCTCTCTGGTTTCAGGAACAGCAGAAGAGGGAGGCATTTCTTTCCTGAAGGCTCTCGCCTGCCCCAAGGTCTTGTTGTTTTTCTCAGTTACTCCTTGGCA